AAAAAAAAAAAAAAGAAATCATGAGTTCAATTCAAGAGTAAGGCTTCCTCATAGATAAAAAATATATTTAACCAAAATCTGAATTTCATTACTTTAACTTCTTAAACCACTGAATCTAGTAATTATCCTTCTCATAAAAAAAAAATAGAGACCCCTATTCCATAATTTTAGCTGTCTTGTGCTAAAAAATAGTTTCTAATCCTTCCTTTGTCCCTATGGTTAGTCTAACTCAAAATTAAGCTCATTTACTAATTCCCTACCTATAATGTCGAATACTGCCACAGAAAAACACCTAACCTTATTAAATCCACAAGCCTATTATATAGACTTCCCTAGCATATTCATTTTCTTACTCTCTGAAATAGCTTTCCTTTTATTTTTAAAGTAGAAACAGGGTCTCACTCTTGCTCAGGCTGGTCTCAAACACCTCATCTTAAGGGATCCTCCTGCACTGGCCTCCCAGTGTGCTAGGATTACAGGTATGAGCCACCACATACAGCTTCTGAAACAGCTTTAAAACGTTCTCTCTACTCAAATATCCTCTGCCCTCCCTGCTCTATTTTCTACTTCCAGGATGATCCAGTCTCATACTGAAAACCTCTTTAAGCACTTTTTTTTTTTTTTACCTTTACTAGTTGGGATAGAAATATTTCAAAATTATACACTTTCCTGTCTTCAACAAAGTACACTTGACTCGGCTTCATTTAGCCTTTCTTTCTTCCACAGCTGAAGATGATTAGGAAAGAATTATGGTGACAGAGCCCAAAGAGTGAAAATAAATATCCAAGAGCTCTAGAAGGCTGATAATTATTATAATGATAACGATGAGGGTGACTACCCTCTCCTAGTGTTTAGCATATGCTGAGTATGCTGCAAGTGTTACTAACTTATTAAACTCTCACTGTCACTGGAAGAGACTGTTACTGTGCTCCTATTTTACAGATGAAAACACTGAGGCACAGAAAAAAATATGACTTGCTCAAAATCACACAGCTAAGAAGTGATGGAACTAGAACATGAACCCAGGCAAACTCATTCTAGAGTTTAAGTACCAAATCACAGTGCTTCGCCTGCACTATCAAATGGAGCCAGGATCCTTAGTAGGCAGGTGAAGCAGCCTGGTTAACAACCGAAGAGCTATTGTAAGTACCATGTGTGAGTGTATTATAGCAAGAGTGGGCAAGAGTGGAATCAGGAAGACATGTAGAAAGGTGCGGTGGGGGTGGAGGGAGTCAGGGAGCTGTAAGGGAAATAAATCAGATACTCCTATTTGGCTTGAACAATCAGCCTTTAACAAACAAGATGACAGGAAATGGAATAGGTTAGAAGGGAAAACAAAGGGAAAAAAACTGCAAATACTGGCCAAGAGATCAACCATTATTTTTTACGTAAATGATGATGTAAATGTTCTAATATATCAGAAAGTAAATATCACATACACTTGCAGAGTAAAAAATGTGACAATGGAGTACTAACACAAAAACAGGCATTAAGAAAGAGGAAAATAAAGCTAAGTCTACTTACAAGAACAAAAATAAGTATTTCTATCAACTTTTTGGATCAATTTTGAAGAAATGTCATGGTGAGATTTTCTCTAAGCATTATGACTAGCTAATCCCACTTACTCTCTTCTCTCTAGTGTATATAAAATCTATAATAAAAAGGAAGACTTTATGAAGATGACTTCCATGGCAATTTCAACAACCACAAAAGGGACTGAAAAGCTTCTGTACAGCTAAGGAGACCAAAGCAAATAGACAACAACACAATGGGAAAGGATATTTGCATATTTTGAATCGGACAAAAGCTTGATAACTAGGATCTACAGAGAACTCAAATTAATCCACATGAAAAAAGCCAACAATCCCATATATCAATGGGCAAGAGACATTAATAGAACCTTCTCTAAAGATGAATGCTGAGGCAAGAGAATCACCTAAGCCCAGGAGTTGGAGGTTGCTGGGAGCTGTGTGATACCACAGCACTCTACCGAGGGCGATAAAGTGAGACTCTGTCTCTACAAAAAGAAAAAGAAGAAGAAGAAGACAGACGAATGGCTAGCAAACATATGAAAAAATGCTCATCATCCCTAATTATTAGAGAAATGCAAATCAAAACCTCCCTGAGATATTATCTAACCCCAGCGACAATGGCCCACATCACAAAATCTCAAAACTGTAGATGCTGGTGTGGATGTGAAGAGAAGGGAACACTTTTACACTGCTGGTGGGACTGCAAACTAATACAACCTTTTTGGAAGCAAGTATGGAGAATCATCAAAGAACTCAAGCTAGACGTCCCATTTGATCCTGCAATCCCATTACTGGGCATCTACCCAGAAGGAAAAAAAATCCTTTTACCATAAGGACACTTGCACTAGACTATTTATCGCAGCTCAATTTACAATTGCCAAAACGTGGAAACAACCTAAATGCCCACCAACCCAGGAATGGATTAATAAGCTGTAGGATATGTATACCATGGAATACTATTCAGCCATTAAAAATGATGGAGACTTTACATCTTTTGCACTAACCTAGATGGAAGTGGAACACATTATTCTGAGTAAAGCATCACAAGAATGGAGAAGCAAGAGTCCTATGTACTCAATTCTGATATGAGGACAATTAATGACCTAGTACACAGTGGAGGGTGGGGGAACGGGGAGAGCAGAGAGAGGGAAGGACGGAGGGGGTGGGGAGTCACAGTGTGTGACATACCTTTTGGGGGTGGGAGACAAACATAAGAGGAACTTTACCTAACAAATGCAATCACTGGGACCTGGTCTTTGTACCCTCAATGAATCCCCAACAATTAACAAAAAAAATTAAAAATGTTGCTGATAGTTCACAGAATATTGAACCAGCATATACTCTTTTCTGTTGCTGGTAGTTCAATTTCAAGTACATACATATACATTTTTTTAAACTGTTCTGAAATCTAATCATTTTACTGCTCTTCATTTTAAGAAGACATGAGTGCAACATGTTTAATGCTGGGAAGACTGGAATCAGGTGGTACTGACACATATCCATAACTCTGCTACAGTTTTACAAAACCATATGAAATTTAAAAGGATGACACAGTAGTTCTTAAGGCCCACTAGGCCACAAGTATCTTGTGTTTCTCTGCACCACCGGGAGAGTCCCATCTTGGTGAAGCTGGTGGCCACTCAATCTTGGGCATAATTAAAGCAGAATCATCACAATTGCCATTTCTTCTACTTATCTTCCCTTAGGAGCTTAAAATGGACTGTTAGGATAAGATGGAAATAAATTTCATTAATTTGAAATAACATTTTTTTGCATCTTTGCTTCAACCATATTAGATCCACGTGGCAATTAATCTTCCAAAGTCTGCCTCTCAAAATATTTTAGATATTGCTATAGCATTAGCTTTCCTCTCCAACAGAACATCTTCAAATATGGAAACTATTTAATGACAACACACTTTGAATGTCTTCTGACCTCCCTTCAGAGCTCGATCAGTTGGTAGGTATGAAGGACAGAAGTCACACAGATTAACCCAGCAGCTATGAAAAGTTCCCCTCTCGAACATCTTATCATAGAAGATGCAATATAACGGGGACAATAAGAAACTAAGAGAGGAAAGGGGAAAAAATAGAGCCCTGCCCATCTGACATGCAGCACAGGTACCTACTGTCCAGTCTGCAGTTTCCCACCACAGCTGCAACAGTGACCACCACCAGCAG